GCCTCAGTGTGGGAGGGTCCATACCTAATCCGCGAAGTGGTCGGTGCCAACACCTTCAAACTCAGCGAGTTAGGGGGCAACAAGATACAGAGGACGTGGAACGCGCAAAACCTAAGGAAATATCACCGAGCAACTTAAATATGTATTTTTGATGCCATCGCGCTTTGCCGCAAAGAAATGGAAGGGAGTCAGTTCGCAAGAACAAAACATTAGCAATAGTCCACCACTATTCGCGCTCACTCAGTTCGCAAGAACAAAAAAAAAATTAGCAATAGTCCAGCACTATTCGCGCCCATTCAGTTCGCAAGAACAAAACATTAGCAATAGTCCAGCACTATTCGCGCCCATTCAGTTCGCAAGAACAAAACATTAGCAATAGTCCAGCACTATTCGCGCTCACTCGATTCAAAGGAACAAACAAACGCCGTGAATAATTACTCTTTGGATTCAATTAAGCGGGAGCAACAAATAATCGCAACTACACTTGATAAAAAAAAAAAAGAAGAAAGAGGAAAACAAGAAGGGAAACAAAGCAACAACTCAAAAAGGAAACATGCCAGCGCAAAGACACTTAAGCGGTTTAGCCCTCTTTACTCTGCTTACGGCGCAACAGGGGCTGAGCATCCTCCTCCTCGTCATCATCAGCTCCCTCAGCATCCCTACTTGCGCCCTCAGCCTTCCCCCCAACCGGGCGCTCTTCCTCTTCCTCATCATCCTCTTCATCATCCTCATCCCCCGACTCGGAGTCAGACTCCAAGGGCCGCTCCTCGCCAATCCATGTCTGGACGTGGCGAACCATCTCGCGCGTATCCCAGCGGACTTCCGGGTTCTCCGGCCGAACCTTCTTCCCGATCGCGATCACGGCCTTGGTCATAGCGTCAGCCAAAATCTTCCCGAAAGAGGGAGAAGACTTGAACTGCGAACGGCCGTGACCTCGGCCTCGCGAACAGTTTCCGCCTTCGCGATGTTGTGAAGGCGGACCAGGTCATCCTTCTCCTTTTGAAGCTCTTCGCGAGCTTGCTTCAGCTTCTTAGCATAGGAGGCCTCCAGCTGACCGCGGATGGTTGAGCGCTCCTCAGCTCGCACCTGCTCTTTCGCCGCCTCCACGTCAGCGGCCAACTTGCTCTGCAGGAGGCCGAGTTCCTCTATCGCCTCGTTGGCTTTGTTCGTGGCCACGTCGGCGCGGTCGTTCGCCTCGACGACCTTCCCCTCCAGCTGGACGATCTTGGCTTCGTCAGCCTGTATCCTGGCGCGCTGCACTGCGCGCTCCTTCTGAGCCCGGAAGGTCGCCGACAAACCCTACAACGCTCATAGACTTAGCAAAACAAATGAATAAAAAAATAAAAATAAAAAAAGAGAGAGATTAGACGCGATAGAACTCAGCCTGATCTTACCGCGAAGTGGATCTGAGCCAAGTCATGCAGGGGATTAGACTTCTCCACCCGCGGCGGAACACTTAGGACAGGCCCAAGCGCCCGGAGCGCGGTATTCGCGGCTGCAAGATTGCACGCCGCTGAGGTGTGAATCCGCACGTCGCGGAAGTAGTTGACTGCAGCAGCGCCGGCAGTGGTGGTCGCGGGAGTCCCCCCGAAGCCCGCCATCTCTGGCAGCTTCTGCTGGATGGTGGCGCCCGACGAGCTCCCAGCCTTATCTCTCCTCTCCCTCTCAGATCGAGAAGGCCTACTCACCGCCTCCTCCGGCTCTGAAAGCGCCAGAGCTAACTGCCGCGCGTCAGATAGCGGCGTCTCCCCTTGTGAAGCCTGCGTCTCCCGCGCACTCAGTTCTGAAACACAAGCCGCCTTACGGGGTTGTTCAACCGCCACTCGGGGCTGTTAAATCTCCTTCCACTTCGTGCCCCTCGGCACCGCGCCCTCCTTCTCCTTCTTCTTCTTCTTCTTCTTCTTGTCAGCGCGCGGCGCCTTCACAACGTCGTCGACCGACATCATGCTCACCAGGTTGGAGAAGTCAACACCTGCGCCAATAAGTCGTAAGAAAGCGGTTAATATGACAAGAATGCAAAAGAAAAGAAATACACCTAACCATCAGCGAACAGCTCCTGCAAACAAGCCTCGCGCACTCCCCCTTCATACAAATTGATCCTATGAGGCATGCACGCCTCATACTCATCGTCCAGCCCGTCATAGGTGCCGGCATCCGACTCATATCCTTGCGTACTGCCTTTCTTCCAGACAGTAGGCTCCTCTACAAACTCACTCGCCCACTCTCCAGGAACGGGCTTGACGTAGAAGAGGCGCTCGAACCAAGTTTTCTTTAACTTGGGTGATCCATACACGAAGCACTCGGGCCTCTTGTCGCGGCGCTTGATGGAAAGGCAGTCGCTTCTCCTTGTAGGCTCCTTAATTTTGTAAATTTTCCGGAAAAGGCCGTAAGTTGGCTCGATGTTAAGCCTTTTGCACGCGAGGCGGAGACAACTCGCGTGCATGATCACTGACGGGGAGAGCCGCCCAACGGAGCAATTGAGGCGCCTATACAAAGCGCACAAGAGCAGGTCGATTGGGAACTTAAACCCCATCACCCAATACTCTGTGTACACGCCGAACCACCCCTCGGGACAATTACCCACCATGCTGCGCGTAGAAGGAGCGGCGTACTGCCAATGGGGGGGCAAGCCCAGCCCGCTCACTATCTCCTCCACGTCACCAACATCGTATATCGAGGCGTGGTCGGGCCCGCGCTTGAGGTTGTCATGCGGCGCCGGCTGATCGCCCCACATCTCGGCCCACTCTATAACAGTGTACGCGGCGCCAACACCGCGCAACCCGAGTCGAGCCATGGCCTCCGATACGCGCACAACGTAGTGCGGCTCTGATTGTGCGCCAGAGTCTTCGCGCACCCCAGCGTCAGCAACTACTGGCCTCCCATCGCGACCACGACGGATGATCAGCACCCCACGAGCTTCTTGCCTCGCCTGCCCGCTCCCGGAAGCACCCATACCCACGTCGGGGGAACCGCCGATATCACCCTCCGACTCGATGTCAAACGACGGCGTTGCCGGAACCTCTTCAACACCGCCGCCGTCCCCACCACCGGAACCGTCGTCTAATTCTAGCGAACGATCAGTAGAAGTGTGCGAAAGAGGGGAGAGATTACCTTCTTCGCCTTGTACGACCTCAGCCTCGTTGATGTTGATGCTAGACATGATAATAACTCGAATTCAGCAACAGCAAAAGGAGAATCGAGGTTGTAGAAGAAGGAGAGGAATCTCAGAGAAAGGAAGAACAAAGAAACAGGAAGCAGAGTCGAAGGAAACAGATGAGTCCCAATCTCCTACAGCAAACCCATATTTATAGTCGGCCAAGGGAAGACGAAGGGTTAAAGTTACATAGGGATTCGTAACCGTCAGATCCCACCAAATCTTTTCGAATTTTTTCGAATTTCAAGAAATCCCCGCCCAAATAGCCCAATCATGCAGGGACACGTGGACACCTACCATCAGAGACACTAGTCGGCGACGCCACAAGTGCCGCGCACCGCCTGGGGGGCATGACACACCCGCAAGGGAAAAAAAACAACCCATCCCCAACTTAAAAGTATCGCGCATCAACGAGAGAGCATGACTTACGAGCGTAGATCGAGGCAACGCGCACAACAGGGGGGCATGACACACCAACTTCGACCGACGTCGTCCTCAACCTAAAGATAACGCGCACAAGTGAAGAGCCCCACCAAATCGAGTCGAGTGCACGCAAATCAAACGGACAGCACCCGCGGATCACTACCGATATGCACAGGATACGCGCGCCATTGAGGAAACGAGGATCACGCGGGGACAAACAAGCCGACTCGCCCAGACCACGCCCATCTCAGTCAATAGCGCGGAAATAGACGGAATCGCGCAGATCCGAGTCAGTCACACGAAGATCAAACAGGCGGCATTCGCGGAATACCCCCTGATGGGGGACAATTGTTGGGCATGTGACTCGGATCTCACCCCACGGAAGAAGCACCCAGGGATACTCACGCCAATAGCAAGCGCGCGAGTCACGCCGAAGTCAAGCGCGCGAGTCACGCTGGAGTCAAGCGCGCAGGTAAAGACCACACCCGGAGGCCACGCACAAACACTAAACGACGACGCTTTGGGCAGACGTGGACCCTTATCGAGAAGTTGTAGAAGCGGCGCCGCATCACCCAACGGGTAGTCACCATCATAGTCCTAGGTATAGTCCTGCCTAAGTCAGGAGTAGTCACATCAGGGTCCTAAAAGCAGGGTCCTAAAAGCATGGCCTAAATCCCTGACATGTCAGTAGTCATGTCGTTGTCCCACATGTAACCCAACCACTCACCCACCACCATGTAGTCTATAAATATGGCATTTACTCCGGTGGGTGAGGGGATCGGATTTTTCGGACTCTATCTCTAAAATCATCGACTTCTCTCTCTAAGATACTTCTCTCTGAATTCTCTTCGTAATCTCCTCACTTCTTCCATCGACGGTTATTCCCTCATTGCTTACTCTCCTTGACCCATTTTCCCGAGTCTCCCTCCTACACCCAGTTAGGCTCAAACAATATATTATATTTAGCATATAAATATAATATTTTCATGAAACTGTGTTGTTTTATTTTTTTCATTCTAGTGAATTATTGTCGTGCTTTTCCTCTTATGTAACATGATAATACGTGTGAATGTTAACATATTGGTTGGAGTTATAAACATAAATTATTATCCATGGATAACAGTGTATACCCGAAACCCGAACGGGTATGGTCGTGGTTTTTATTTTCGACCCGTATCTTATATAGGTATGGGTATGGGTAAAACCCGAACTAATTAGGGTAGGGTAACAGATATGCACTATCCGCCCACGACCCGACCTGTTGCCCCACCCCCCAGTGTAGTGATTGTGGGAGTTCAGAGAGACATTGGAGCTTGTTGACATCATCGACATCAACATAGGAAAACCCTAATTGTAAATCCCTCATCTTCCTTTTCACTTTCCCACCTCGTCATGAACGATCTCCCTCAAGACCTCATCGCCAATGTCATCTCCTTCAAGCGAATCCTGTTGCCTCGTCGTTGTCACCGCCACTTTCTGGTTCGCTTCCCTCTCCGACATCGTCTGGGACCGCATTTCTCCCCCGGACTACCTCTCCATTCTCTCCCGAGCCACCAACGATGACAAAGGCTTCAATTCTGACTTGGCCTCCAACAAGGATCTCTTCCTCCGCCTATGCCAACACCCCGGTAATATGGTGAGATGCAAGCTCATGTAACGACCAGCACTCCTTCATGGCTTCTCGACTCCGCAGCATCTCACCATATTACCGATGATTTCACCAATCTTGCTCTCTCAGAAAAGTACAATGGTCCTGACACCATCGCAATTGGTGATGGCTCAGGTTTGCCTATATCTCACACTGGTTCTCTATCTTTATCCTCTCCCAACCATACTTTTTCCCTTGACAATGTTCTGTGCTCCCCATCCATATCCCAAAATCTTATTTCCGTGTCCCAATTTTGTGCCTCTAACCAAGCTTCTGTGGAATTTTTTCCATCCTCTTTTGTTGTCAAATCGCAGCCGTCCTGGACCCCTCTTCTTCAGGGACGCGTTAGACATGGCGTTTACGAGTTTCCTACTTCCTTCACCAATAAAACACTCCCCCGTGCTCTGGTTGGCGTTCGCACCTCGGGGGACGTTTGGCATCGTCGGCTCGGCCATCCAGCCCCACCAATACTTCACCAAATTCTCACCCGCCACTCCCTTCCATTTGTCACACCGACATTGTCGACATGTCATGCGTGTCAGTGTAGTAAAAGTCATCGTTTACCTTTTTTTTACATCCTCCTTAAACAGCTCTCGTCCTTTAGAACTTATTTATTCTGATGTCTGGGGTCCTGCTCCTGTTACCTCCGTCGATGGTTATCGTTATTACGTGATTTTTGTGGATTACCACACTCGATTTGTATGGTTTTATCCCCTCAAACGCAAATCCAATCTATTTGATATCTTTCCTCGTTTCAAAGCTCTCGTTGAGAATCAATTTCAGGCTCCCATTATCACTTTATTTTCAGATCGGGGTGGCGAATACGACAAACTCAATTCCTACCTCTCTTCTCATGGCATCACTCACCTCACCACCCCTCCTCACACTCCCAAACATAATGGCATATCTGAACGCCGCCACCGCTACATCGTCGAAACTGGTCTTTCCTTACTTCATCAAGCCTCCATCCCGACCATGTATTGGACCTATGCTTTCCGCACTGCTGTATAGCTCATCAACAAACTTCCGACCCCCGTCTTGTCCCATGAATCTCCCCATTCCAAACTTTTCCACACGGCTCCCAACTATACCAAACTTCGCGTGTTCGGTTGCCTTTTTGTTTTCCCTTTCTACGTCCATATTCGTCCCACAAACTTGAATCCCGGTCTCATCCATGCATTTTCTTGGGCTACAGTCCCACCCAAAGTGCTTACCTTTGTCTCCATCCAACCTCTGGTCGCGTTTACCATTCCCGTCACGTTACATTTAATGAAGCTGAATTTCCCTTCACCAAACTCACTCCGTCCCCTGCCTCCACCACGTCATGGATTTCCTCCCTCAATAATGGACCCCTAATATTCCCCGTACCCTATGACTCTTCCCCACCACACCCACCCCTTGTGTCTGAGACCCCAGATCCTCCTCCAGCCCAACTCATCAACCTTCCCTCCTCCCATGTGCCCAATATTGACACACCTTCCCCAATTGGTCCACTAAATACCACCGTCCCCACCGACCCTCCTTCCATCCATGATTTCACCCGCCAAGCCCAACCCGTACCCGAGCCCACAAAACCTGACCCACCACGAAGTCCAACCCCACCCGCCACCTCTGTTGTTACCATTCCTTCCCCGCCTCGCAAAATCGTCACATGCTCCCAAAACAACATCTTCCGACCTAAACGCATCTTCTCTGCTACTCGCCATCCACCCTCCTCTCCCGTCGAACCCACCAGTGTGAGACAAGCACTCCGTGATCCACTTTGGCGCCAAGCCATGAAGGAGGAGCTTCAGGCGCTAGCTACTAATGGGACTTGGACATTAACCCCCCGTCCCGAAGATGCTCATGTTCTTGGTTGCAGGTGGATCTTCCGCATCAAACGGAATGCAGATGGCTTTGTTGCTCGATATAAAGCTCGATTGGTTGCCAAGGGCTTTCATCAGCTCCCTGGCGTGGACTATCACGCAACATACAGCCCTGTTGCAAGCCGCCCACCATCCGTGTCATTATCGCTATTGCCATTGCTCGGGTTGACCAATCCGACAGTTAGACATCAACAATGCATTTCTCAATGGCGTCCTCACCGAACGAGTTTACATGGACAACCTCCAGGCCATGCGGACTCCACTAATCCTTCCTATGTGTGCAGGTTACAACGTTCGCTCTATGGCCTCAAACAAGCACCTCGTGCTTGGTATCATGCTCTTCGTGACTTCCTCCTACAATCCGGGTTCACACAGTCGAAGTCCGACGTCTCTCTATTCCTTCTTCAGCATTCCACCGTCACCATTTACCTTCTGGTCTACGTCGATGATATAGTGATTACTGGATCCTCTCCGACTCAAGTCAACGCTTGTGTTCAACGGCTCGCCGCTCGATTCTCACTTAAAGACTTGGGTGATCTCCATTACTTCCTTGGTCTCAAGTTTGTTCGCAGTTCCACCGGTGCACATCTCACTCAACGCAAGTACACGGCTGATCTTCTTCATCGTGCCTCAATGCTGAAAGCCAAGCCTGCTTCCACACCGTTATCATCCACCTCCTAGCTACGGCTTGATGATGGCTCTACCACCATTGATGCCATCATGTACCGCAGCATCATCGGCGGCCTACAATACCTCTCGTTCACTCGACCCGACATCAGCTTCGCAGTCAACCGCTTATCTCAGTTCATGCACCGTCCAACTGAATCTCACTGGCAGGCTGTTAAACGTGTGCTAAGGTATCTCAAGGGTACTCTCAGTCATGGGATCTCATTCTCTGCCTCGGCTCCTCTTAAGCTCCACGCCTTTTCTGATGCTGATTGGGCCGGCAACCTCGACGATCGCTCCTCCACAACTGCCTACATTGTCTACCTCGGCTCTACACCAGTTTCCTGGACATCTAAGAAGCAGAAGAGCGTCGGTCGTAGTTCTACCGAGGCCGAGTACAAAGCCGTTGCTGCTGCAGCTGCTGAACTTGCTTGGCATTGCTCTCTATTATCCGAACTTCAATCTGCTCCACCCACAGCACCCATACTCTTCTGTGACAACCTTGGCGCCACCTACCTCAGCTCAAATCCCGTCTTTCATTCTCGCATGAAGCACATTGTTGTTGATTATCACTTCGTACGTGACCGCGTTGAGAAGGGTCACCTCATTGTCCAACATCTTCCCTCCATGTCTCAGCTGGCCGACTTGCTCACCAAACCGCTTCCGAAGGCCCGCTTCCTGTAACTTTGTCCCAAGATTGGTGTCTCCTCCGGCGACTCCATCTTGCGGGGGCGTATTAGGAGTAACTGCCCACCGGGTTTATCTCCTCCACTCCAGTAGCACAACAACTCCCACGTTCCTTTATTATATCCTAGTTTGTTTGTTACTGTTAGATGTATCTATCCCAATATCTGTATAAATGAGTTTCCATTCTAATAAGACACTCAAGTTATTCTCTCCCAATTCCTCCGTTAGTCTATAATATGCTCTACCGTCGTTCCTTTGTTTTCGTTGGCACCGGCAATTCTTCCTCGATCTGCTAATCATTTCTAAACTCTAAACCGTGTGAAACTAGGGATGACAATGGGTCGGGTTGGGTCGGGTTTTTCCAAACCCAAACATGGGTTTATCCGTGAAAAAACCCCGAGATAAAACCCACTGGGTTTGAAAAACTCAAACCCAACCCAACCCCCTGGGTATCCGCGGGTTCATGGGTACCCACTGGTTTTTGTCGTAAAAAATTCACAATAACAAGTTCCTATCAAAGTTAAAGTCAAATATCAATCTCTCAATACAAATTATCCATATATAAAACATCATTCTAAAACATTTAAGCAAATCACAAATTTACTATAGAAATTGTTCAACGCCAATCTAGAAAACTCAAGAAATTTGAAGCAAATCACAAATTATCCATAAATAACATGATTAATTGCAAGCTTCTTCATTCAATTAAGTTTTTCACTCTCCACTTGATAACATCAACTTCATTCTACACAACTAGAAAGAAAAAATTAGACATGTCTCCACAAATATAAATAAGATTAGTTGTGTAGATTATTAAATATGCCGAGAAAATTAATTATATGAGTGTGGGTGAGTACCCATGGGCCGGGTTTACCTAAACTCAAACCCAACCCATCCCGGTGAATAGTGAACGGGTTTAAACCCAAACTCGACCCAAAACCCGTCAACACGAATTTTACTAGCGTTGACCGGATTAGATCGGGGGGGGGGGGGGGGGGGGGGGGAGGGGGGGTGTACCCGTGAGTTCGGGTTTTGTTGCCATCCCTATGTGAAACGAATCCCCTCCGTCATTTCTATTTAAGGACAAAGGTTTGTCTAATTTCTTTAACATTTTTTCTAATTATTAATTTGGTTATTTTATTTCCTACCGAAGATCACTGCCTTCTTTCTAGGGATGACAAAAATATCCGTAACCGTGGATATCCACCCGAATCCGACCTAATCGGGTAGGGTAAAACCCGAACCCGAAGCATTTTTCGTGGGTAATATTGTGGGTAATGGGTGGGCATGGATATCTCACTATCCAACCCGAACCCGCCCGATTATACACATGCATATGTATTTTGTCTAGAAATAATCATTATGTTTCTCTAGAATATTTTATATTTAGCATATAAATATAATATTTTCATGAAATTATGTTGTTTTAATTAATTTTCGTCATTCTAGTGAATTATTGTCGTACTTTTCCTCTTACGTAAAGTGAGTACACGTGTGAATGTTAACATATTGGTTAGAATTATATAGAGAAATTATTACCCATGGATAACCGTGGATACCCGAAACCCGAATGGGTATGGGAATGGTTTTGATTTTCTACCCGTTTCTCGTGTGGGTACGGGTATGGGTAAAACCCGAACTACATTGGATAGGGTAATGGATATGCACTATCCGCCCCGACCCGACCCGAGCCATTGCCATCCCTACTTCTTTCTTTATCAAATCAGCATCAATTCATCCAGAAAACAAAATTATCATCATTAGGATTTATGTTTTGTTTTTACCCAGCCCTAATACTTTTATATATATATCAGTTGCAGTCCCACCTCGACCCGGCTTCTCCATTAACGCCCGGAGCTTGGTTTGCATTTAGTTTGGCCCGAGTTCGTGTACATATTTAAATCTTAAAATTTGAGTTACAACTTTCAAGTATGAATTCTCGTTAGCGCATCAGCCTATATCCATAGATCATGAATTACTCCAAATTTAGAGTATGGTATTATATAATGACTGGAATATAATGATCAGGGGTTATATTGACCCTAAAATAATCATAAACCCTTATGCAATTAAGACTCTCATCATTACATCAAGTGATAAAACCCTATACCTTAATTCTATGGTACGATGGATATATCTCAACAAATCATAATCATCAATAATTATTCTTAGTGTATTTATATTAACTATTATTAAGGTTTAATGTTTTTGGAATTGTGGTATAGGATTTACTCACTTGAGTCTTAGTGTAAGTTCATATAGTGATCATCCATTGCTTTAGCATTGGTGTTGCTAGTTTTTGAGTTTGGCTTGTTGCATTTGGTTCTCTGTTCAATCTCAATAGGTGGTGGAATGCTCTTTATCTTACTTATTTGTTTTGTTTTTGGGAACGACAGGGGTGGCCTAATCCACTTAGGGGTCGTTTGGATGGAGTATTTGTAACTCGTTTGGTATACTGAAATAAGTTATTTGAACAGTGAGTTATTTACAAATAACTTAAAACGAGTTATTTGAAATAACTTATACTGTTGTGTTATTTCGAAATAACTCGTTTTATCACTCTGCTTTTACCAAATACCACATGTCGAATATCACATTTGCATGGTTCAACCAAACGAGATACTTTATTTCAATTACCATTGAAATAACACTGAAATATCACATGAATAATAAATGAGTTATTTGACTCTACAAATACCACATTGACAATTAACCCATCCAAAGGATCCCTTAGTTGTTGTCCCTTTTTCCTCTTCTCTCTTGGTTTGTTTTTTGTTGTACTTTGGTAGTGGTTCAATTCTTGTGAACCGGTGTTTCTTTTCTCATTTCTAAATAAAAAATCTATTGCCATTATAAAAAAAAAATCATATAGTGATCAAGTATCTTCACTAAGAAACTCTCCGAATGGTTTTAGTCAATTAACTATCTTAGTTTATGGGAGAAACAAGTAGGAAGATAAAGGATCCATCGATCCAAGTCCTCTTGTTGGTGTAGATTTCATAACATAAGCCCACTAACAAGCACAAAATAGGCAATAGTAGTAACACACATCTTCATAAGTTCAATACAACTGTCATGAATCCAATTTTCCTCACAACTTTCTCGGGAAAGTCCCCACTCGACCTTGTTGTATGTTGTAGTCATGTTCAATTAGGTGGCAGAGAAACCCTTTTTATATTGTAACATTTATTCACATGATTGAAACATTCAAAAGCTACTACAATATTGTCTATGATTGTCGGTCACAACACAAAATCGCTTTGTTCCTCCGAAATGATGATAGGTAGAATCGCGTTTGTATATGTTTGTTAGGACTTTCGAAACCAACTTGTACAGCACTCGAAATCTCGATTGTATAACTTAATGTACTTTGACCAATATAGATATACACTTATGATCATAGAATCCAAGACTGATCTCATGGATGGGGTGATGTAACACTTTGGTTTTCAAACTTTCGTGCATGTTAGCCTGACTTCGCGCAGTATCTAGACCAATCACACGTGAAACTTTGATCAAATTACAATTAGCTTGTTCTTTGTAGACAAACACCTTTATCACTGGAGCATACACTGATTTGGTACAAAAAAGCTAACTAACTAGTGTTAATACACGCCATACAAAAGACCTTAGCTATCTGCCACTACTTTTAACATGTAGAACTCCGATTGAAGCCTAACAAAGTGAGATAGTATTGTATTTGTACGTGGTTCTAACTGTGGGAAGCCGGGTTCTCACCCCCAAATGCTTTATCTCCTTTCTTGTGTCATACAATGAATCATAATCATATTCCTTAATGGGTTCAAATGAGGTTTATGGATCTAGAAGGAGGAGGTATGGTAGGTCATATTTTACACAAACCCGCCCTCTCTCATCAATTCTGTCGTCTCGTCTGTAATGGGTCGCAGAAGAAAATGCTGAAAGCAGGCGGGCAAGTGGAAAGTTTCTGGTCGTGTGCGTGTACCCTTTATCAAGGCTGCATTCTTTTTTCGCAATTGGAAAGTTTCCTCTGCTTTACGAGCTTTTCCCGCTCCACGCGTCACAAACCCATTCGCTCTTCTCCCTGCCACAGCAAATCAAGCGGCAGCTCGCGGAATTCGAGGAATAAAATCCGAAGCAGCAGCAAGAAATTCGCGTCCAACTTCACATTATACGCTACCGTTTTGGCTTCTGGACGGGGATGGGTGCACCTCGGGAGAAGGGAAGGAGGGATTGTCACGGTCCTGTCACTTGATCATTCTCCTCCAGGAATCTTCTTAATACGAAATGCGTTCACACCTTGACAGGAGCTTAATTAAATCGCCATAACCACATTAATCTCGGCACTGACGATGTTGCCCCCCGGAAAATGCTACGTTCGCTGCTACAACCGGGGGTAATCCCGTCATATCGGCGTTACTAAACAGGGGAATATTATTTTCGATTTTTCATTTTGGCCTAAAAAATCCATTGACCGGCTAGGATAATGCCACTTTTCTCATTCTCATGGCTTCCACAATTTCAATGTTCTCACCTAACACCACATTCGGCCGTCCATTCCGCCCTCCCTTCTTGAATCGCGTACGTCCGTTTCCCAAAACCAATGCCGGCCTCACGATCAATTCGGATCCAACGGCCTGTTTCGAGTTACTAGAACTTTCTTCTCTTTCCTCGACCCGTCGCCCTTGCCCTTTTTATTTCCCATCATCACAGAGCTTGTGTCGTACTCGTGCCAGTCTCCCTTCCCGACTTTCTTCATCGCTCATTTCACTTCCCTCTGCTCTCCTCTCCTCTCCTCTCAACAGGTCCGTTTCTTCTAGCTATTCCCCGCTCTAGATAACCTTCCGGCTGATTTCATGCTATTCTGATTCGTTTCGTTCTTCGATTTCCTGCTACCGCTTGTTGTTTCTTTTGTCTCCGATGATTGGATTCCCGGATCTGTCGCCGGACGGCGTTGTGAAATGTGCGGGATTTTGATGAGATTCTGTGTGTTTTCGTGTTCGTTCGCCGGCCATCTTTACGCGGATTTAGTTTCCTGAGCGCTTGAGGCTCTTTGCGTTTTCTGAATCGAATCTGGTTGTTTCCTTTTGTTGTTTTTGCAGACTCCACCGACGACAATGACGAAGAACTACCCTACCGTGAGCGAGGACTACAAGAAGTCCGTCGAGAAGGCCAAGAAGAAGCTCAGAGGCCTGATCGCCGAGAAGAACTGCGCTCCACTCATGCTCCGTCTCGCGTAAGAGTTTCCTGTCCTTTTTTTTATGCTGTTTGGATGTAGCCCGTCGTGAGCGATCGGGTTCGTACGTGACGTTTGTGGTCAGATTGTGATTTGCCGTTCGATATTTGTTTCGTGGTGCAGATGGCACTCAGCAGGGACCTTCGATGTGAAGTCAAAGACTGGTGGCCCATTCGGTACCATGAGGTACGCTGCCGAACTGGCCCATGGAGCTAACAATGGGCTGGATATTGCCGTGAGACTCCTTGAGCCCATCAAGGAGCAGTTCCCTAACATCACCTACGCTGATTTCTATCAGGTTCGTCGTTATCCGATTTTGCTTCTTCTTATTGTGGATGCTGATTGAATTTGGCTGAGTTCTTGTTTTACTTACAAGTTGTGTCCTAATGCGCGCAGCTCGCTGGTGTTGTTGCTGTCGAGATCACTGGAGGACCTGAAGTTCCATTCCACCCAGGCAGAGAGGTCAGTTACTATGATGTGTATGATTGTTTTGCTTTATTGTCTTTAATGGTGGATTCGCTGCCATTTTAACTCTCATGTGAAGAGTCTTTTGCTTTGTAATTTCGTGGTAGCATCTGGTGATAATTTCCTGTTATGTAATCGTCCTTGGCCGGCTCTTGCTATTCGGCTGATATCTCAATGAATCTTGGTCTGGATAGCTTGAATGTGTGGGTGCTTGTTGTATAAGAAGTGATCGTGTGATTCGGGGAGAGTTGGTTCTTTTTTCATGGCAGTTCAGCTCGTTGTTTGTTTCGTCTTCACTGTGAACAAAATCTAACAAAATTAGATTCTCTAGTGTGTTTGCCGAGTCCTAGTATTATGCAAGAGATGTCTGAACGTTTGAAGCTAAGTCTTGAACTCAATTGGTATACAGACTAGGGTAAATGTGTTGCAGAATTCTTTATTTCTTTTCCAACTTTAATTCTGGTGTTTGTTCCTTATTGAGTGACTTTCTGTGGCAACTTTCTGCCTGGCAGTAGTTCTGTATCACACGCGAAAATGTCCTATTATGCTATTGTTGCTCATGTGAACTAAAGTTTGGGAGCATTGAACTTTCTTGTCTGCAGGACAAGCCTCAGCCACCACCAGAGGGACGTCTCCCCGATGCCACAAAGGGTAAGTTCCCTTGCCAATCGGTATGTGTAGCCTGTCCCATGTTTAAAACATTTTGGGAGTGTGGTTTAATAATGGGGGAGCTTTGCTCTTGCAGGATCTGACCACCTGAGAGATGTCTTTGGCACCATGGGTCTAAGCGATCAGGATATTGTTGCTCTATCTGGTGGCCACACACTGGTAAGTGCTCCTTGATGTGTATCAGGTCGCCTTTTTTTTTTTTTTTTTCTCTTTCTGATGCAGTTTCTGAAATTACCACATTGTGAATTGATGTCTCAGGGAAGGTGCCACAAGGAGCGATCTGGGTTTGAAGGACCCTGGACTGCCAACCCTCTTATCTTTGATAACAGCTACTTCAAGTACGTTTCCTTGAAATGCCATTAGTTCTCTTCAATCTGTGGCCTGGTTGTGGAGATGTCTCTTATGCTTATGATGCTCAAATTTTCAGGGAGCTGCTGAGCGGAGAGAAGGAAGGTCTCCTACAGTTGCCGACCGACAAGGCACTGCTCTCTGATCCCGTCTTCCGCCCCCTTGTTGAGAAATATGCTGCGGTGGGTGTTTCCAGAGTTGCGATAATTATTTGCTCCAGACATTAGGGGTATACAATTGGTATCTAATCCATGATTTTACTGAATGCAGGACGAGGACGCTTTCTTTGCCGACTATTCTGAAGCTCATCTGAAGCTGTCCGAGCTTGGGTAAGCGAATTGAATTCCTTCTTCTTCTCTACGAACTGTGTTGACAACCTTGGGTTGGAACTTGCAAGGTTTGGTGTGTAACTATGGTTAATTTTTGTTCCGTGTCAGATTCGCCGAGGCTTGAGCTGTTAGCGATTTGGTGGATGGTGTAGTGGATGGTGCCAAACAATCTGGGTGCGGGTTTTAGTAGAGGTTTTGAGGGTGGTTTTGATGAATCTAGTGGGCTCTTTTGGGTCTCCTTAGTTTCGGATGTGAGCTGTCTCCATGGAAACAATATGTCCTTATTGAAGACACTCTTGTTTGGTACCAATCGTCGTTTTAGACTTGAATAACATAAATATTCGCATTAGCCTAGTTCATTCAGAAACTATTGTAATATTTTCTTCCGTTGTTTCGTCTTATTCATATCCCGTCATTGTTGCGAGACGGAACTAGGCAAGACAAATTGGGTTTGGCATTGTTATCGGATCCAGGGGAGGCGGTATCTTTTCTTTGTTAATTGCTCTCGCATTTCGATCCTTCTGTTTTTGCTTCCTTATCGTATGTTTGCCGGCCAAGCCTTCGTAGTTAGCTACGAGCCACTTTGTTGCCAAGGAAGAGAGTGAGAGAGGTCGATGGTGCAGGTGGTGAAGTTCAAGTTAGATTTAATCAGGGCATAGCTCTCTGGTTGTTGGGTATTTAAGCGCCCAATGCATTTGAATGTTGTCTCCGTCGAGTCCATTGAGACCTTGTGCTTTACTCCACTATTCTCTACTCAATGACGATGTGTACATCACTACATCTACTGATCTACATGGACTCAAATATGGGATACTTGCAATAGTGTGGATGGCTTCAGATGATCTCGTCCCATTTCATTCAATTTTCAATACCACGCAAACTCAATTGTAAATGTAATCTTATCCCAGTAAAAAAACAATGCTTCAAACCCGTTAATTTCACTTTTCTAATTTCGTTAATATATATGTATACAAATTAAGTACCCCAATTCCCTCTAACATTCACATTGTATATATCTTTTTAATGTTTATCTTACTTTTTGCCCTTTAAAGAGGAGACGATTTCTTCTTGCATGCTCTTCCTTTTGGGGTGATGGTAAACTGAGATAATTCTTTAAAGAGAAGACGATTTCTTCTTGTATGGCTTCTTCCTTTTCCATTACCTGCGGGCGGCCAAGTGTGAAAGAAGGTGGAGTGGATCTATGTGGCGGCGAGTCCCTTTTGACCTGCTATACCGCATCTTGATTTTCCCCAGGTGTTGCAGACGTTACGAATAGTGGATGCGTAAGGTTGGTCAAAACGTACAGATTGGTTACTTAATTTCCATTGGTAAAATCTCAGCAAAAGTAAGTATGTCCTTTGCATAAATACTTATATATTTCTTGCAGGATAATTACTTAAATACTATTATCTACATGTGTTTGTGCCTGGTAAATACTAGGCGGTTTGTAGGGCAATAGTGAGGCGTCTGTTCTTGAACGGAGGGTGCACTCTCGACCTCTGCTAAATAAGGGTCCGTGGACGGTTGCCCAGTACACTCTCAAAAGCTTAAGTTAGATAGAGAAGTGTTTGAGAATGTGTTTATTATAGTAGAGAGAGAATAGTTGAGTTTACCATCGATGCTCTCATGGTACATTTATACCTAGTATGGTGGTGGGTGAGACATTAAATGCTACGTCAGGCGTCCCGAGCAGGCCTATTCCCTATGTGGACCGCCTGCGGCGGGCAATAAATGCTCAGTCTTACCCAACCTGAGGTACGTATCTCAACGGATCTTTTACCTTTCTGTCGTAGTCAGTCGCTTTATGTCAGGCGCCCTAGCTACTCCTCGGGTTTAGAGTCGGCCCAGGACCGCCTGCTACCTTGGTCTTCCTGGCCGGGCCATACACTCTACTGGGCCTGGTTAGCTAACTCGCTTTCCCTGGGCCCGAGGCCCAAATACGCTCAACTACGCGGCCCATCAATTGCCCCTTAGGCGGGAAAAGCCTAGGTTTTTGGAGGCTACTGAGAACATTCCCAGCTAGTTGAGCGGTTCACACCTCATCCATATCCTGCTTTGCCCCTAGTCGTCGAAAACCTTGGGTCGACCTGCCTAGGCCTTATTTTGGCCGCCTCGCGGGATTTTCGATTGGAGACGCGTCGTACACGTGGCGAGGCTCGGTTTCCTTGCTCTGACAACGGGCAGGCTAGCTGTCCTTTCGTTGCCCGCTTTTTTGAATTTTTAGACTATGGTCTCTGTCTCGGGCACGCAACCGTCACATCGCTCGTTCCCTCTCCCTTTCATTCGCTATATATTTGCGAAAACTTCTCCTTTTCAGCATTGGCTTATCTCTTTGTCCATCTTCTTCAAAATTGCTCGTTGCTCTAGGTTTTCGCTTTCTCGTACCTAAAAACTCACTCTTCTCTTTCGGCAGAGCGATTTTCCTATCTCACTTCCTTGAGGCGAGGTAAAAAACGATCGAAGAGGAAGAATCGAAAGTTGCTGATGGCGATCAGTTATCGATCTACTACCCCCTCTGATATCCAGAATCACGACCTTTCGGGCGATGTTCCGCCGCCTTCCGTTTCCGACGTTGCTACGGCCACTGCCTCCGGCGACGCTACAACTTCTGGTGCCAGAACAGGTGTCCCGCGCTCGGCTTCCAAGGCCGCTGGTACAAGCGGTCCCTCCGTTGGGACAGCACAGGCCGCCCAAGGTATGCATGACCTTTCCTCCCCCCTAAGCTTATCTGACATAGAATGGGATACAGTGGGTATTGAATTATTATGCGGTTTTGGTAATGCTGTTGAACTGAGGGAGCGTTTAGATAGGCCTGACTGTTGTATTTTAGGGTTGGGGGGGGGGGGGGGGGGAAGGGGGCTCTAATCGATACAGCTACCTCCTTGGCTGAGCAAGGTTCCACCTCCAAGGTTGGTGACAACCTTGTCGACTTTGGCACGCCAGCCTCTGTAGGCGGTTCAATGACGAGAGCCCCTCTGGTAGAGCTATCGTCAGGGAGCGCTCCAAGAGGTGATCTCGACGAGATAGGCGCGGAGGACTCTGTTGCAAACTCTCCCTCTCTGGCGCTGTCGAAAGCGCCTCTTGTCCACCCATTTCAAGCAGTTGCGGACGACACGTACCGCGTGCGCCTCCATGAGGACATGATAACGCCTTTGACATTGTTCGGCGTTTCCACGGTTAGTCAGTTCTCTTTGGTTTTAACAGGATGGTGTTTTCTCATGTCATCTACTTATGGGTTTACTTTACAGGCATCCGGCGGTATGCGTCTTCAGCGAGACCGTCGAAGATAGGTGCGAGCGGTTCGCAATCTGCGGCTCCTTAAGCTCCGAGCGGTTCGGAGGGGCAGCGTACTACCTGCAGTTCTACCCAGTCCCAGTTAGCTTTGGGCCGCTCAGAGCTGCTCAAGCTGACTGTTCCTACTGGTCAAGGAGCTGGCCGGGGTGCTTCTAAGCGGGCCTTGGATGCCGAGGCGGCGAAAGAAAGGCAGCCGCAAGTAGAGCAGCAAAAGATGAAAGGCATCTTGATCGAGAAGCCGCGCTCCAACCCCCTTGCCGCATATTCCTGTCAAAAGAGACAGAATACAACAAAACTCTCTTCAAGCGCGGTTTACTCCCCGCATTGTGACTTCCTCTTATGAGCCAGCTAAAGGTGCCATGCACATTATCTTTGAAGGGTTCGCGGTTTCTAGGGAGTATACCCGTGTTGTTGGCACCCTTGTGCTGACTTTCGATACCTGCCACCTTGCTAGGACCACCGCGCGATGCTTCTTCGCGGTACGTACGTTGATTGTGTGCTTGGTTTGTTTACCCGTTTTCTTACTAACCGCTTATTTTGATTTGAACACTTAGGCTCAGTTTGGGATAAATCAGCTGATGCTTTCACAATGACCATCTGCAAGGCGACCTGGACGATCGCGATACACGGATCGTGAAGCTGGAAGACCAGCTGAAAGAAGGGCGCGGGGGGTTTCAGTAGGAGCTGTGTGACGAAATCCTTAAGGAGCAAGAGGCTGTCTTTCAAGCCAAGGATGCAGAGATGATGGCCGCCAAGAGTGATCTGGTGAAAGTGGAGAAGGATTTGGGGGGCGCCAGAAGAGAAGTGACTGAGGCTGTAGAGCGAGAGAAGCTGATGTTTGATAAGGTGAAGGAGCTGGAGTCCAGCATGGCCGCGATGGAAGTCAAATGGGAGGTCGAGCTCAATGAGGTGAGGGAGGCTACTAAAGCTTCCTTCTATGAGTCAGCAGAATTCAAGGCGGCCGACGAGGCCAAAGACAACAAGCTGTTGAGGGATACGGTGGCTTCCATTTGCCATTGGTTCCACCGCAAGCGTCCTGATGCGGATAGGGAACGGAACGCGGTTTGGGATGCTGTCGAGTTCTGGGGTAGAAATGATGTCAACTCCGAGGAACCTGAGGTCCCGACGGCCAATGCTGGCGAGGAGGTGAACCAGCCTTCTCCTGTCGATGGCGGTTCTATTTAACCCTTTTAAGTTATTGACTTCCTGTTGTTTTTTTTCCTGCTCTCTCCTTCTGGAGCATAATACATTCCGCCTGCGGGCGATGTGGCAATGTAATATTTCAGATGTTCACCTTCGTTACTTGCATGTCTGGTTTAACCGCGCTCTATCTATCTCGAATGCGAATGTTTCTCGGTGCGTGGTTAAACCTCTCGCAAATGCCTTTTTGTTGCGAAGGATGGTTAAACATGCTAAGCGCTTTGTTCGGGGTTAGCCTGAGTTGTGATGATCATCCTATGTAGATTTGGTGTGCGAGGCGGTTCGGATTGTCCGGACCGCCATGGCGGGTATTAAGTTTGAAGACATATGAAGCTATGAGAACTGCCTGCGCATGTTTTATAGCTCGGGGGCGCTTTAGATTGCTATGATAATTAACTTAAGTGTGGTGCTCTAAGGCATTTTAGTTGTGAGATTGACTTATGTATGCATATTGCTCTGGGGCATGTTAGATTGCCAAGTCAATTATTACAAGTGCCCTGCTCGGAGGCGTTTCAATTTGTGGGCAACTTACTCACGCCAATTGCTCAGGGGCGGTTGGAATTGTTAGGACGAGTATCGCGATTATTGTGCTCTGAGGCGTTTTAAGTTGTGAGGCATTCAATGCCTTTTATCGCTCGGGGGCGGTTGAAATTATTGGAGCAGTTTTGTGTGTAGCGCTCGTGGTTTGACGATATTTTTAGGAAAATATATATGTATCGCTCAGTGGCGATTTGAATTGCTAAGATGCCGATCTTGGGTCCTGGGGTATTTGGAGCTGTCATCTCCTTTGTCAGCCATACAAAATGCGCTACGCTCTGTAGTGTTTACCCTTACAAAATTTGCCCTAATTCTCTGACCCTTTCACTCGCCGAAGTACTTCTTGAGATGAATGGCATTCCAAGTCTTGGATATTGGCTTCCCTTCCATGGTGGCCAGCACCTATGTAGCAGGCCCGATCTTCTCCCCTACCAAGAACGGTCCTTCCCATATGGCCGCTAGCTTACCATGCCCCTCATTTTGATCGAAGTTTCTCTTCAGTACCAGGTCGTCTTCTTCTAGTGGGCGAGGTTTCACCTTGTCGTTGTAAATTTTTGACACCTTCAACTTTTCCTGTATGGTTCAGACCAAAGCCGCCTCTCACCGCGCCTGTGGGCGAGGTTTCACCTTGTCGTTGTAAAGCTGATGCAGGAGCTTCCTGTGGTTTTCTTCTAGGTCGTAGGTCTGAACTCTCAGGGAAGGTAGAGAAACTTCCACCGGTGCGACCGCCTCGAAGCCATACGTCAGGGCGAATGGAGTTTCTCCGGTTTCCCTCTTGTAGCTTGTGTGATGCGCCCAGAGCACATGTGGCAGTTCAGCGGTCCATCCTCCTTTTGCGTCTTTGAGCCTCTGCTTTAGACCTCTCAGGATAAGTTTGTTGGACGACTCCACCTGTACATTGGCTTGGGGAAATGCGACCGACGCCATTTAGCAAGTAATGCGGTTCGTGGCACAAAAATTTCCGAATGGCCTGCAATCGAACTGCGTGCCATGGTCAGTGATGATTGTGCTGGAAGTTCAAACCTGATCATTATGTTGTTGAAGAGAAACTATTGGATCTTGGCGCTTGTGATCGTGTCTAGCGGCTCGGCTCCAATGCTACCACCAGATACTTCTTACCGAGGGGGGGGGGGGCTGTTGGGAAAGGCCCAAGGAGGTCGAACCCCCACCGTGAGAACGACCATGTACTTGTTATGCTTTTCAGCTCCACACTCGGCAACTGCTGCTTGTTGGCATGAACTTGACATTCGTGGAATCCTCGGACCGCCTTCTCGGTGTCCTTCTTTACCGTTGGCCAGTTGTACACCTGCAGCAATATCATCTTCTCAAGGCTTCTTGGTCCTGCATGCGAGGCGCATGTGCATTGATGCATTTCTTTGACAATCCATTTGGCTTCGCTGGGGCCTAGGCATTTCAGGTATGCGCCTGAGAATGATCTTTTGTGCAATTGCTCTCCCACCATTGCATATTGGCCCGCCTTCCTTCTTATCAGTTTTGCTTGAGCTTCATCAGTTGGAAGCTCGTCCCTCTGCAGATAACCGATGATGGGGGACCGCCAATCGCCTTCTTCTTCTTCCAGTGCCATTACTCTGTAATTGGATTTGGATTCTTTCGTTACTATGACTTGGCGGTCTCCCTCAAAAGCCATCGCGGTTGCCAATTTCGACAGTGCTTCTGCGTGATGGTTGTCCTCCCTTTTGACATGTTCCAACTTC